GCCTTTAAAGAGCTGTTTCTGAATGAGGTGGAATGGGAGTTTAGTAGAGTCAGTCAGGACTGGAATGCTTCAGTTTTTGCAATGAGACCCCCTGGATTTAGATTTTGTGTGTCAGTGTTAGAAATGTTGCTGACCTATCAGAGTGATTTCTTTATATGTGTTGATTAACTTCAGTCTGGCTCATGAGGTCAGAGTCTGCTGTTGCTCCAATTAGACACTAATCTGATTAGCTCCTTCTTTCTCAACCCGACAGCCGCCACACTGTCGGGTTGTGAAACACTCGGAGGTTAATTCTCAGCATCCAGACAAAATTCTTTTACTTCACACCCTGTTTACAGCTGCAAGGTTCCTTCTGTAAATCCTGCACGATGTTTACTCACCTAATGGTCAAATAAGGTCTCAGGCACGCTGAGGTTTTCCCTCTTGGTAAGCTCGGCCATCGACGTGTGGAAGTGATTCATTCATGAACACTTTGAGGTAAATGAAATGTGTGTTTCTGTTGACTGAGTCAGAGTTGGATCCCTCCCTTTATATCAATATGTGGAGGAAACCATGATTCATCTCAGTTTAGGGTGTAGAGCTGATCCGTTTAATACTTTTACAAACAAAACCTAGTCAAACCTAACAGGTTCGCTCCCAACAGGTAAGTTTAACCCACTTTTATGCTCATCTGTACACCTTTGTGAAACGTCTAATAACCACCTGTCTGAATGTCAACCCTACAACCCTGCCTTTGAGGTCCACTGAAGAAATGATCAGCATTGTGTTGGGTTTTTTGACATGTGGTCAGTCTTCCTTAATGCACAGAGAAACCTGCAGCGCAGTGTCGCATCAACAGGTAGAGGTGCTGGTTTCTTATGAGGACTCAATGTCATTTTCTGCTGACAGACTCATAAAGCTGACCTCTCCCATGGGCCGTCAGTGAGCAGCGGGCTGTTTTTTGTCTCTCCTCAATCCCAACAAGACCGGCTGCCAGACAGTCACCAATAAAACTAGTATGGAGCTGGAAGAACAACCACAAAACTGACTGAGTGGATTGGAGCTGGCCAATGTGAAACCAATAGAAAATGGTTTTCTCTCCAGCTAACTTTCCACCTTTTCCCAGGCAATGTTAGTCCCTCTGTGGTTCACCCTAGAGTCTCCTTTCAATTGCAAGTGGCTGAGAATTATTTAAAAAATCTCCCAAATTCAATTATTTTAAGGCGAGAGAACAGTGGCCCCGTTGGTGTAGCCCTCCTTACGAACATCATAGAGAGCAAAGCTTTATCCTCACATTTTTTAGGCAAAACTGTCAGAAATTGTTCACTAAAGAGTTTCTTCAATGGCATGAAATGTTTCTTGGACTACAAATTGAAAAATAACACGAAAAATACAGAGCGCTTCATTGCATTCATAGTTATCTGATTGGTTCTACCCTGATGAGGCTAACCCTCTTAGCCCTGCCCATGAAATCGAGGTCTTTCAGCACTTCACCAGACTGATACACATATTAGTCCAGCTGGCCAGGCTAGCTAGAAACCCTTTAGAGGCGGACAGGGTCTTCAGGTTTCAAAGATGGAAGAAGAATCTCACAGTTTTATCCAAATAGGGTATAACGGGCCATTAGGTAAAAGGGCGGACTAACTTACACTTTTCTTAAAAATACATTTATTTTGTTTTATGTCGAACACAAATAAATTGACAAATTTTCCAGGAACGTATTTGACATCAATATTTGAACATTTCTTAGCAAAGTACCGTCTATTTAATTCGGCGTCCTAATTGTTTTCATGGTTCTACTTGCCCAAGGGCTGCATGAAGTTTGGTTAAAACCTGTTTTCATAATGAACTCTGAGCTCTTTGGCCCGATCAGATCTCCTCTTCACCTCCCCTTCCTTCTAACCTCCCTTTGTTTTCCACATCAGAACAATTCTTCTCAGTGTGGAGCGCCCACCGCTGAGCTGATCCGATCTGTGAACTCTGAACTCTACGCAACAACGCAGGCTCTTATTTTAGCCACAAAGATTTCAGCATGTGCTCCATGCAGAAACGAAGCAGCTCTGCATTAACGCTGCACTGTTTGCTGGGGTTATTTTGTTTCCCATTAGTGCAAAAACAATAGTTTTGTTTCGGTTCTGCACACTGATGACTGGAAAGCTGACCTTCCTCGGAACAAAGGTAACAAATAATCAGCGGCAGGAATTTGACATATTGATGTCAAATCTGAAGGAACATCTACAGAACACCCTATATAACTCTAGAGGCCAAAACAAGGCAGAAAAGACAAGTTCACCAAACAGGCTGGATTAAAGTGATGATAAATTGTTTTAGCAACCTAACTTGAAATTGTATCAGTTTGGTGTTTAAACCTTTAGTCAAACTGCAGGAGTGGACAGTGTGGCAACAGTTCAGAGAGTTCAAGTTCACATCCAGCTCCCAGTTTTCAGATAGCTTTTTAAATGCTTCTGATTCTAAATCATTTCTGGTTAAATTAATAAACACTGCAGCTGAGAAACAAAAAGACAAAACAGGAATTTGTGTCAGCCTGTTTGCTTTCCCACTAGGACTTGATAGTCCACTTCCCCTGTCTTGAATTTCCTCCTTTGCAATGTTGCTTGCCAGGGTAGTTTTCTTTTTTTATATACATCTGTCTCTGGAGCTCTTCTTCCTCAAAGAGGAAGTGAAGCAGCCATAAGAGACCAGCTGGCCTTGGCAGGGAACATGCATAAAACAGAAATGGGGATACAAATCTGCAGTCCCCTTTCCGTAAAAAAAAAAAGGGTTATGTGTCTTCTAAAACTGATAATCATGGTAGCCTCGCTTTGCTAACATGAACCTGTTATAAGCAGGCGTTACAAAAAACTTCCTCTAGAGGCATTTTTTCAAATCATTTCCTGTCTAAATCATGCAAACACACCCTTAAGTCATGCAGGTTGAACTGCATAGGGCAAAAGATTTCACTTCCTTGTATTCTGTGTCAAAGCTGTTGCGTCATTCAACCAGCATGTGGCCAATATCAGCAGGCAAATGGGAAGAAGACACAGAGTAAGGGCTATAACCCGGCGGTTCCCCAGTGGTTTGCTCGCTTGCTGAGAGAGTAACCCCTAGCAAGGGTCTCTTTGCATAATCTCACTACAAGCTCCAGCGTCTTTGGTCCAATCTGATGAAGTCTTCTTCTCAGCTCTGGCCCCTTGCTTCTCTACACCGTTATTACCTTTAAGACCAATTATGGCCCATTTTCTGTTTATTAGGAATGCTTAAATGTGCTGCTTGTGTTATGCTCCAGTCTTTCACATTTTGAAGGTTGGTTCCAAGTCACAATTTATTAAAAAAAAGGTCCAAAACACTTTAATCCAATCAAAAAGTAAAACACAGATGTATTGAACCACTATTTTAGAACTGTTTGGCATCATAGGGTTGTGGAAGACTACCCGTGTGCTACAGGGGCCACAGACCGCCGATCCATAGGACCTCAGCAGCAACAGGCCGGTAGCACTGACCATGCATCTGGTGAAGACATTTGAAAGGATGGTCCTAAACCATATAGCCCCAAACGAGGTCTTCAATGGATCCACTTTGGCTTGCCAACATTTATCTGCTGCACTAAGCTCGGTTTCTTTCATTTCTTTGGTCTTCTGACATTTTCAACAAGGACCTAGTGTTAAAAGATATGGAAAATTGAATCTCTGGCTTTTTAATGCCAAAAAACAATTAATCAATTGATAAAATCACATATATTTCAATCACACTCTGAGAGGTGACATTAACTTAAAGGGCAACAGAGCTGTGAAACATGCCTGTAAAATAATAATGTTTCACAGCAAACATTGAAATGTTTGCAGCGCCTGGTATCACACGGTGAGCTAGTTTAGCTGTTATGAGGAGACATCTAAGAATAAAAAGTAATGACCTGATGTCACTCTGAGCTATGGGAAAACAAAAACTTTGAAAAAAAAATCCAGGATTTCCATAAATTTCCCTGAGAGACAAACCAGTGAGTCAGGAGTAGACCGCCATCTTTCCAAGGTGATACTACTGGACACAGTATGTCTGCAGTGTTGGGGAACCGCAAGGAACTGTACTGGATCCGCTTTTCTTTACCTTCTACACTGAAGACGTCTCCATCAACTCCCTGACTAGAGTACAGACAATGGATACAGAACTTCAAGGACTGGTGCCAAAGGAAACAGACCAAGCAGCTGGATAAGCTGAGGAAGGCCAGGTGTGTCCCAGGATGCCCCTCAACCCAGCATAGGTGGTGGAAAGAAAAATAGCAAAAATAGCATCATAAAAAATATCACCTGTCAGACGATTTCCTTAATGCACAAAAGGGGTGTCACCACAGATCCCCCCTCCTAGCAACTTCTCACGGCTAAATAATTCTGCTGTTTGCCTTATTAATGTTGATAAATTGTCTGTTGGGTTTTTTTTATACCTAAATAAACATGTTTCTTGAAAATTAACCATACTTAGTTCCGCGCTTCTTTTCATTTTTGGATTATGCTATTTATATTTTGTATTATAAATCAATTTTTTGCTATTTTGACTATACTGAAAAAAAACAGATAAGAGATAAGACGGACTGTTGGTTTAAAGGATGAAGGGTGCTGCAGGTCGGCTGCATGCTTTAGTAGGTTGTTTTAGCGCCTGGCATGTCCCACTGAGACGAGACCCCAGGGAAAGAATACACCGGAGAGGGACCATGGATCCCTTCTAACAATAAATGAGCTTGCAGGTGGATGATCTGTTAATCCATTACAGGCAGGAATGAAAACACTAGATGAGAGAAGTGAAGAAGGTTGCAGGAATGAAACCTGCCAGAAGCCATTAGAAGAGAAGGATAGGCATATTTTTCACGAAGATAAAGTCCAAAATAGGACTTAAATACTCTCTTGGTTCACTGCTTTATGAGATAAAAGTAATTGTGTTCATTTCTCTGTTCTTAATTCCTGCTGTTTGACAGACAGCACAATCACACCCCCCACAGGAAGCCGTGTGCAGAAGCAGCTGGTGTGACGTAC